GGTCAAGAGAAGAGACTTTTCTCTGGAGTCCTGGGAGGGGCCTGCCTCCGTTCATCTGCCTCATTGGTCCTCCACTAATGTCCAGAGCTGAGACACCACCTGAGCCCACGTCCCCCGCAGCGGGACCCCTCCCCTTAGAGAATTGATCCAACACACGTCATCGGAACTTCAGAAATTGCTCTGTGTACTTTCCAGAAAGCTCTGTTCCAGGAGGGATCTGGAAGTCAGTCAGCTACAGGCTAGGCTGGAGGAGAAGACCAGGGCCTATCAGCTACACCATTGCTGATGGTTTAGAGACTTGCCTGTGTTAGCAACTACTGAATCTAAGTGATATGTCAGTGATGACAGCTTTCCAGCCATACCTGGTTTTTCTGTGTAGGTCGCCACCCCACCCACCCACCCCACATCCCCTAGTGTTTGGAGATCGAGGCCAAGAGCTTAGGGTTTTAGTCTTGACTACTGGGAGTGAGGACAAAACTAGGTTGGATGATGAGGGAGGTGACAAGGGCCGGGGAGCTAATCTCAGAGAGATGAGGCAGGATGAGTGAGCAGACCATAAAGCAAAGGGAGGTGGTGTCCAATGAAAGCAGAGGGCAGATTGGGGCTCTGGGGAATCATCAGACCCAGCAACAGTGGTAGGGGGGGGGGAATCTCAATGATTCTCTTCAAGGAAGAGAGAGGGTGAGGGACTACTCTGGACTTGAATCCAGACCCCTGGTTTCCCATTAACTTCTTCATTGAGTCTACTCTGTGATTCATTTTCCTGGGGCAGGTTGGGAGTAGGAAAGCTCCGGACATAGGATGAGAGAGAGAGAGAGCGAGAGAGAACATGCAAGCTAGATGTGCAAGTGTCCCTGGGGTTTTTTTTCAGACAAAGCTATTATCAAAATGCCAACCAGCTCCTGCCTGGCCAATTTGCATATACCATGCTGTGCTGTTTGAAGCAAGATGAATATGCATGAGGGCCTGGGGTGGGGGGGAGAGAATGGTGCAAGGCTCTAGGCCAAGGTGGCTCATTGTTCTTTGAGAAGAAAGGCATTAAGAAGCAAACTACCTTGCAGGTCAGCAGACTGGCCTGTGCTTGCTTCCCTTCTTAATGAAAGGAGGAGAGCAAACCACTGGCTCCGACAGAAATCCAAATGACCATCCTCACATCCTCAAAAGAAATAATCAGGCACCATGAAGAATGGGAGCATCTCTGGCCCACGAGTAGCATGTAATTACTCCCCTCTCCACACATACTAATCACAGAGGCCGGCTAGTGTGGAATCCTCTCTCCTGGCTTCTGGGATCCTAGCTGCCTCTCCCCAGTTTTTGCTTCTGCTTCAGGGAAAGCTGGCCCCCTGAGGTGGCCCCTGCAATGCTCTTGCCCTCCATGTGGAGAAAATGCCTTGGACAAGGCCAGTTCCCAAAGAATGGACTTGGCCAAGTGCATGAAGATGGTGATAGTTCATTCTAGAACAACTGGTTCAATGGTAATCCCACGCCTAGCACGTGGAAGGCCTCGTCAATCCTTAGCTCCAAACATAAAAAATAAAACAAAAGAAGACAACAGATCATGCCTGGTTTTTGGTTTTTTGTTTTTGTTTTATTTTTCAGTCATGGGGCTTGAACTCTGGACCTGGGTGCTGTCCCTCAGCTCTTCAACTCAAGGCTAGCACTCTACCACTGGAGCCACAGTGCCACTTCCGGTTTGCTGAGTGGTTAATTGGAGATAAGAGTCTCATGGATGTTCCTGCCTGGGCTGGCTTTGAACCTCGATCCTCAGATCTTAGCCTCCTGAGTAGCTAGGACTACAGGCGTGAGCCACTGGTGCTCGGCGATCGTGCCTGTTTGTTGGTGATAGTCTTCATCCAGTCTTCTCTGGCCAATGAAGAGAGTCATACTCTAGCTGTTATTCCAATATGTATGACGACAGGTCAGTGTGTGTGTGTGTGTGTGTGTGTGTGCACGCGCGCACACGCGCTGGTACTGAAGCTTGAACTTGGGGCCTTGAGCTTTTCCTTCAGTTTTTTTCTACTCATAACTGGTATTCTACCACTTAAACCATACCTCCATGTCTGTTCTTTGTTTTTACAGGCTAATTGGAGATAAGAGTGTCAGGAATGTGTCAGCCAGGCTGGCTCCAAACTATGATTCTTAAATCTCAGCCTCCTGAATAGCTAGGATTATGAGTATAAGCCAGTTGATTTAATTTTAAAAATCAATTTGTCCAAACTTGGGTGTAGAGATGCTACAAAACCTTTCCTTTGCAGTTTTCTTTCTGGCAGACCAATTTGTGTCCCATTCTGAAAAAGTTGGGAAAGGACAGAGACCCTGGAGTTATTCCATTTGGAAAATAGCCTGTCCCTGTGATCACAAGTTATAACTCAGGAGAAATAAAGGCACCACAAGGGAATTTTCTTCCGTGGACTTGACCAGACTAAATTTAACAAAATCCTTTTTTGCTTGCTTGCTTGCTTGCTTGCTTGCTTGCTTGCTTGCTTCCTTCCTTCCTTCCTCTTTCTTTCTTTCTTTATCTCTCTCTCTCTCTCTTTCTTTCTTCCTGTCATGGGGCTTGAACTCAGGGCCAGGCTAGTGCTCTACCACTTGGAGCCACACAGTTCCACTTCCCGTTTTTGGTTGTTAATTGGAGATAAGAATCTCAAGACTTTCCTGCTTGGGCTGGTTTCGAACCATGGTCCTCAGATCTCAGCCTCCTGAGTAGCTAGGATTACAGATGTGAGCCACAAGGGCCTGGCAACAACACTGTTAATGAGTAAGAAAGCACTTCAGTTAAAGGACCTACTAGCTAGCTGGCCTCTGATCTTCTTAAGAATGTTCCCGGAGACTTCCTCTTTTCCTCAGTAAGTGAGTGTGGCCATCCTAGATGAGTTCTGTAATCAACTTTAATCAGACCCTCAACTATCCACATTCACCATTGGGATGAGTATACGGAATGGTAAGGGGAAAGCTTGGTGTACCTGTAATCAGACGATCCCTGTTTCCTTTGTTTTCATCCCAAGTTAGAGCTACAGCAACTCTGCAACCTTAGAGCAGAGCCTTCTAAGACCTGATGCAAAGACTAGCTCCAGGGAGGCTTGTTGAGTGTGCACGCTGTCCTGCTAAGTCTAGAAGCCCACCTGAGATTTTGCATTCAAACAAGCAAGTAGGTGTGGACATTGCCGCTGGACATCACACCTTGAGTAGCACCGATGAGGGAAGGACAATGCAAAATCATGAGGTGTGGGTTTCACATTCCCTCTAAACTCCTGATGTGGACAAAAGGCGAAAGGAAAGAGGAGGCCTTGCTCTCCCTGCTTCCTGCTCACCTCCTCCTCCTGGACTAAGTATGTCCCTGACACTTCAGATTTATTTTTAAACTACCGGCAGCAGCTTTGATTAGCTTGTCTCTGCCGCTTCAGACACCTGCTGGCAGGATAAATTGGGGAAAAGGAGTGGCTGACCCAGATCTGACAAATCCAAGGCAGGGGGAAAAGCTCTTGGGGATTCGTTGCTTCCTCTTTGCTGACACTGATGAAAAATCGACAGCTGACAAGTGTGACACTTGCCTGTGTGACCTCACACCACCCGCGACCCCTCAGCCTTCAGCCCCAGTGCCCCAGAGGGGCAGAACTGAGCTCATCCCTTTTGTGTCAAAGGATGAATAGTGATGTCACTTGGTTGACCCTGTGGATTTGTTTGGGGACCTCGGCATCCAGCAGAGGCCCAGGAAGTTAGAGGCAGAGCACCTAGGATGTCTTCTTATTGTCATGTCTTCTACTGTCACTCTGTGGCCTTCTCTGAACACTATACTATTGCACGTAGCATGCTTGGTTAAAGCAAACACCATACTCCTAAGCATCAGCAGATATCTAATTGGATAAGAGACCTGCCAGTCTCTCTCTACCACTTCCTATGCAGCCTCAGGCCAGCACAGGGCCATCTCTGCTTCTTCTCATTATATTGTTTTCTCTCTTGGCTTTCTCACTCATGGCTGATGCTCTACTATTTGAACCTTGCCTCCAGTCTAGCATTTTGCTGTTTGATTGAAGATAGAGTCTTGTGGACTTTTCTGCCTGGGCTGGCTTCAAACCATGATCCTCCAGGTCTCAGGCTTCTAAGTAACTAGGACTACAGGCACAAACCATCAGCTCATTTTGATACATCTCTCTCTGTCTTTTGATTCCTTCTGTGGGAAAAATTCTAATACCAGTAACTACTCATGGTATTTGATAGCCATGATGAGACACCATGTAAAAAGAGTTAAGACCTGGGCTGGGAATGTGGCTCAGTGGTAGAGTGCTTGCCTAGCATGCATGAAGCCCTGGGTTCGATTCCTCAGTACCACATACACAGAAAAAGCCAGAAATGGCACTGTAGCCCAAGTGGTAGAGTGCTAGCCTTGAGCAAAAGAAGCTCAGGGACAGTGCCCAGGCTTTGGGAATTGGCCAGGTTAACATCTTTCAAACCAGAACACAGGAACCAACAGAATTCGGAATGTAACAAAGCAGAGAAGCATCTGCAATATGAGGACAGCTTTTGCCTGCTCGTGTGTGGAGACCGGCAGCTGCCAGCTGTCAGTGCCGGAAACTGCATGTAGGAGTTCGCATTACTATAACATTAGGGCAGCAGGAAAGGCAGGAAGGACACGTAAAGTTCCAGGGCCTTGTTCCCAGGGGTCACTGCGCACAGAGAAAGCAGTGTCCCGGCACAGGAAAGAAGCCATCTTGGGCGAGTTCAACAGAGCCCTGGATCCTCAACGCCTTCAGGAACCAACCTGCCTATACCCACACGAGGCACTGCATCTGTCTGGCTTCTCCATGTCATTCCCTTTAATAGGGCCAAGCAGCAAGAACCTAGGAGTCTGCGTATGGCCTTCCACATACATAGCCCTACCACCCGCCATGACCCACCAAGGGTAGGGCCATAGGAGAGCGCGTGAAAGCAGTCACATCTGACAGATGCCAGACTCCAAAGCAATGAAGAATATTAATTAAATGAAGGTTTATTTCAAAATTAGTCTTAAGAGTATAAGCTGTTTTGGTTTTGGTTTTTGTTTTTGAGGGCTGGAGCCAGACTACAGAATGAGCGGTGAGGACACCTGCCTTCCCGGACACAGCTGGAGAAGAGGCAGCGAGCATCACCGGCCCTGCGCCCTGATCATGCATCCAATGATTACTAGCACTAGAAGCCGACAGCAAAGGACCCCGCCCGCGATTGCTCGTGTTTAATCCAAGTTAAGCTATCCATGTTTAAATACATATCGGAGGTTACGTGATGTCATGCAATCCCTGTGATGGAAGGACTCTTGCTCAGTGACCTCCTGCAGCCAGGCTGCTCCAAAGGCAAAGTTAGGTAGGACAGAGCACTGAAACGAGAAGAGGAAGAGGTCACAGGTCACATAGTCAGGGCAGCTCCTGAGCAGAGAACAATCTCCCAGGATTGGGCAGTAGTTGAAGTCCCGCATCATCGTTCTACCAAGAGCAGGAAGAGACACTGACAGCTCTCTTTCTGCTGTGACGTCATGATTAAGCATATAGTCTCAAGGAACCACCTGCCTGGGCCTAAATCCAGGAATCCTGCCCAGGCTCTGATGACTCACTCTGTAATCCTAGCTATTCAGGAGGCTGAGATCTGAGGATCAAGGTTCAAAAGTAATCTCTAATTAACCACCAGTAAAGCCAGAAATGGAGCTGTGGCTCAAATGAGAGTGCCAGCTTTGAGCAAAAAAGCTAAAGGACAGCACCTAGGTTCTGAGTTCAAGTTCCAATACCAACACACACACACACACACACACACAACCTTGATCCTCTTCTCACAAGCTCTATAACTTAGGAAAATGCTTTTACCTAACCACACTGTTTCTTCTTTCATGAAACAAAATGTACCAATGTGAGAGACATAGAATGTGATCATTTTCGTGGATTGACAAGGGTAAAAAGCTAGCCCTCAGACCATCAAAGTTATACATACCATTCTATAAGCCTCCTCAGAAAGATTTACCATTTATTTTAGAAACCTTTGGGTCACACATTCCTCCCAAAATTTAACTACTAGACTATAAGATTAATCTTTCTGGCTCTTACAGAAAGAAGCTCAGGGTTTTATTTATGTTCCACCAATCTGAAACTATACAAAGTTGTGTGTGCACTGAGAGCAAAAACAAATCCAACAATGGATTTAGACCATGAATGATCTTCTATGGCTACTGACATCTGAAAAGAAAGAGAAGCAGAGAGTATGTGTCTCGGGATGGATGTCTAGAACCACACATAACAGTGATTATGAGAAGATGTAAGGCTGGGACTAGCTCAGTGGTAGAACACTTGCCGCGCATGCTTGATGCTCTGGGTTTAATTAATCCCCAGCACTGTAAAAATAATAAAACACAACAAAAGGTCTAAGGCTGAAGCTGCTCAGGCCTCTCATTCTAGGGCCTAGAGGAAATAGATGAACATATTAAAGTATAACATGGAGATGAATTTAGAAAAAAAATCCAAAAAGGGGAAAATTCTACAGGACAAATCTTCTAATTTCCCCAACAAACATATTTCTAGGAATAAGTGATGGAACCATTTTTGCAGGGGAATTCTAGCAGCACCCACTAACTACCATGAAGGCCCCTCAGTGTTCACCTAGGCCCCTGCTGGGTCTGTCTGCATAGATGCCTGCTAGGCCTTCAGAGCGGCTCCGTAGCTCACCACTTCTGTTCAGGAGGTGACTGCGGCTCTTACCTTTTAAAATGTAGTCCGTTAGCAAAGTAGGCACCTTCTCATTATCCTCCTTCATGGCAAAAAGAACTGGGGGGGGGAGAGAGAAAGAGAGAGAGAGAGAAGCAGAGACATCATCAAGGATACAAAGTTGCTTCCAGAGCCAAACATGCCCTCCACCACTCCCACCCCCACCCAACTGGGAAATTACTCATTTGACCTCTAGAATTTGTTTCAAGAACAGCCAGGATTGTCTCTAGGAAAGCAGCCTGACTGATGGCTTCCATGATTTCCATACCATCCACTAAGTATATATCTTTAATAATTGTAAGAATAAAGCAATTGTTCAAAAAAAGAATCAGCTGCTAGGCGCCAGTGGCTCATGCCTGTAATCCTAGCTACTCAAGAGCCTAAGATCTGAGGATCATGGTTCAAAGCCAGCCCAGGCAGAAAAGTCTATGAGACTTTTTTTTTTTTGGTCGGTCGTGGGGCTTGAACTCTGGGCCTGGGCGCTGTCCCTCAGCTCTTCAGCTCAAGGCGAGCGCTCTACCACTTGAGCTACAGCGCCACTTCCGGTTTTCTGGTGGTTTATTGGAGATAGGAGTCTCATGGTCTCTCCTGCCCCGGCTGGCTTTGAACTTTGATCCTCAGATCTCAGTCTCCTGAGTAGCTAGGATTACAGGCATGAGCCAGCGCCTGGCTCTATGAGACTTTTATCTTCAATCAACTACAGAAAACCAGAAGTGGCGCTGTGGCTCAAGTGGTAGAGCACTAGCCTTGATCTGAAGAGATCAGAGACAGTGCCCAACAGAGTTTAAGCCCCACAACCAACCAAACCAAACCAAACAAAGCAGCTTTTCAATATAGTTGATCTAAATATTAATAAAAACTGACAGGTATATAGGGTGTTAAGGGAGAATGATAAAGAGGGCGAGACTATAATAAAATGTAGATGTGTATGGGAATTTCACAGTGAACCATGCTTTTGTACAACTAATACACTAATAAAAAAATTGTCACACTACTGAATCACCTATAATAGTGTTTTAAAGACATTCTTTTTACATAAACAATCATCTTCATTTCCAATTTGATGGTAGCAAATAACAAGTTAAATATTTTTTTTCTGTTTTGTGTCCATTAGACAGCTGGAGTTTGTGAAGGTTTGGGGACTCTCTCTGGATTTCACAGCATACCATTTACACATGAATCAAACAACAGGGAAGCTTTTGATTCTTAAAGGCTTTTTCAAGAGGCTTTTTATAGCCTAGCTCAGGTAGCTCACACATATAATCCTAGCTACTCAGGAGGCTGAGATCTGAGGACCATGGTTCAAAGCCAGCCCGGGCAAGAAAGGCTGTGAACTCTTATCTCCAATAAACCACCAGAAGACTGGAAGTGGGCTGTGGCTCAAGTGGCAGACTTGAGCTTTGAGCTGAAGGGGGAAGGAAAGGGAAGGGAAGGCAAGGCAAGGCAGGAAGGCAGGAAGGAAGGAAGGAAGGAAAGAAGGAAGGGAAAAGAAAAGGAGAAAGATTGTATGCACAAAATGTCCTTATCAATGAAGAAGAACATTGCAAAACACATATAAATGTTATAAGAAATAGATACATGTAGAATAATGAAGTAAATAGAAATGCACAGAATAAACAGAAGAGTGTAGAGAACAGTACATGTGCTTATCTCTGAGTGTGAGACCACAGGCTGTATTCTCTCTGTGACATCTTTCTCTGCTGTCTGACTCTTCTCAATGAGGAAAGAATAAGGATCAGCTAGAGTCAGGAAACAACCATAACAACAGTAGGTTTCCAAGTCCATTTCCACGTCCTTGAACTCCACTGATCAGCTTTCCTGATTTCAAGGCAGGGCAATGAAACCTGAAGCCACAAGTCAGGAGTGGGCAAGGAACAGAGTTCACTGATGGGCCTGACTCATTGACTAGGTTCAGAAAAAGAAAGCTCAAAACCATACTATTGCTCTTTTTATTTCTTCTATATCTTTAGAAAAATGTTCACTTCAACTCAGCTGGAAGCTGAGGGTCCTTGTTTCTTTTTTTTTTTTCTGTATTTCTAGACATGCAGGAGATTTGCAATGGAACCTCAGACACTAAATGCCACCCAGAAGACTGCAGTAAAAGAGCAATAATGACATCCTGCCAATATGGTTCTAGGTTTTCCTCCAAATTCCAAATTTTATCTGAGTTACCCAGTCAAAGGAGCTTTACAAATGCATTTTTGTCTGCTGCCCTTAATTGAAGGACATAGGGGAGACAGAGGAGACATTGTCCATGCAAGAATCTACCCAAAAAAAAGCTCTTATAATCTAAAAGAGAATTGGTATTCAGAGAGGAGAGAAGTTGGAAATCTTTCTTTTAAGAGGTATAAAATATTGGAATGTGATATATCCATTTAATAAAAGAGACAACCATAAAAACATTAACAAAATGTCAACTGGTGGGACTTAAATACGAAATTTTATAGCTGGTTTAATTATGACTATCTAGAAAAGATAGAAAATATTATGGCTAACACCCTAAACTAGTTTGGATCTGAAATGTCTTCCTGAAGGTCCAGGTATTGAAGGCTTGGTTCCCCAGTGCAGACATGTTGAGAGGCAAGGCTTTGTTTGAGGAAGTGATTGGCTCATGATGGCTCTGACCTCACCCAATGGACCAGCCCATTGATGAGTTCATAATGTGATGAGCTTTTTGAGAGGTGATGGAAATTTAGGAGGTAAGAACTAGTCGAGGGTAGAGTTATTCAAGGCATGCTCCAGATAGATAGATAGATGGATAGATAGATAGATAGACAGATAGATAGACAGACAATCTCTAGCTATCTCCCTCTCCACCCCCTTTCTCTCTGCTTCCTGACCACCATGAAGTGAGCAGCTCTGCTGCTTCATGGCGATGATGCTCTCATCTCACTGCAGGCCCAGAAACAAGTCAAGAAACCATGGACTAAAACTTCTAAAACTATGGGCCAAAATAAACCATCTCTTCTTTACATTGGTTTTCTCAGTGTATACGACTAACATAATTATTATCGAGTAATTATGTTCACTTTCCACATATCAAAAGTATTCTAATGATGGATATATTAGGTGGAATTACTAAAAGAACTTCAAAAAATGTAAACAAACCTACTTACTGTGGTTTCTTAACCACAATGAAAAGAAAATGTCACGCAATTCTTGGATGGACAGCTACAATAAACAACTAGTTATTCTCTGCTTTAAGATTTCACATCTGGGGCTGGGAATGTGGCTTAGTGGTAGAGTGCTTTCCTAGCATTCATGAAGCCCTGGGCTCGATTCCTCAGTACCACATAAACAGAAAAAGTCAGAAGGGCTGCTGTAGCTCACATGGTAGAGTACTAGCCCTGAACAAAAGAAGCTCAGGGACAGTACCCAGGCCCTGAGTTCAAGCCATAGGATTGGGGGAGGGGGAAGACTTCACATCTATCAGGCTTTGTAATTTCTCGTTTATTTTCCAGATGTTTAGCACTATGAAAACACAACTCTACAAGATACATACATACATACATACATATATATATATATATATATATATATATATATATATATATTTAAACGATGTTAGGACTTGAACTCAAGGCCTATCTCCTGTGAGGCAAATACTCCATCACTGAGCTGCATCCCTAGTGCTACAAATACATTTCTGTCTGTTCCCTTTAAGAAAAAAAAATCTTAGTGCATATTTATGCAAATGCAGGAGTTTAAAAATGAGTTAAAAGCAAGTCAATGTTTTGAATTTAAAATTCCCGATTCTCAAGGACACAGTATCTGTGGATACAAAGAGAATTTCCATTTGCCACAGTCTCCTACTCTCATTCTCCAAATTGATTTTTTTTTTTACTGGAGATATTGGTCACTTTTAGCCCAGGGCCCAGGAAGTATGTCTTCCTCTCCCTTCCTCTGGGGTGTCTGTACCCGCCCTCCCCCCACACACTGGCCCATTCACTCCAAGGCAGCCATCATTCTGCATGCATAGTTGCCAGGGAAATGTGACTTCTTTCACATCTCTGAGCCTGTCATCACATTGTCTCCTAGGATTTTTCTCTTCCTAAGAGAGCCAAGCTGACACCAAGTGCCCTGGTCCCTTGGGAGATATAGTCTGATGTGTGTTTGTGTGTGTGTGTATGTGTGTCTGTGTGTGTGTGTGCACATGTGTGTATACACACACATATATATATACATACATAGATATACATATATGTACAGACATGCATAGATATGTATATATATATAAATATAGACAAAGAGATTTTGCCTACAAAACTCATTATAACTGTTTCCCCCGCCCCCCCCCCATAGCTCAGAATGTTATTATACTATAAGACAATAGAGCCAAAGCAGAGAAGAGGAAGCAATCAATTCCTGGAAGGAAAAATGGACTTTATTCTTCCCCATCAGCCTTACTCCTTACTCTGCCCAAGAAACCTTGCTTCTTGTGGGTTGGGAAGGTGGCTCAGTGGTAGAGCGCTTGCCTTGCATGCCTGAGGCCCTGGGTTCGATTCCTCAGCACCACATAAGCAAAAAGAAAAAAGCTGGAGGTGGCGCCGTGGCTCAAGTGGTAGAGTGCTAGTCTTGAGCTGAAGAGCTGAGGGACAGCGCCCAGGCCCAGAGTTTAGGACCCATGACCGGACCCAAAAAAAAAAACAAAAAGAAAGAAAGAAAGAAAGAAACCTTGCTTCTTAAATGTGCAATCACAGCTGGGCACTGGTGCCTCAGGCCTGTAATCCTAGCTAAGATCTGAGGACAGGATCACAAGTAAAAGTCAGCCTGGGCAGAAAGACTGTGAGACTCTTATCTCCAATTAACCATGAAAAAAGCCAGAAGTAGAGCTGTGGTTTAAATGATAGAGTGCTAGTCTTGAGCAAAAAAAGCTGAGGGACAGCACCCAGGCCCTGAGTTCAAACCCAGAACAGGCTCGCGCAGGCACACACACACACACACACACACACACACACACACACACGCACACACACACACACACACACGCACGCACACACACACATACACACAAGTACAATGAGGCCTGAGACCAGCTTCTTGCTAAGGCACCCATGTATGGCTCAGGCAAGTGCAGGAGGGAACCAGAAAGACAGAGAAGATGACACCTGGAGAACAACCAGGAACACAAAAATCTCCCTCACCCCCACTTCACACCCTCCCCCCAGCTCCCCTCCCTCCGCCCAAGCAGGTCTCTTGCTTACTGGAAGAACCAGAGGGAAAAAAAGAAAGAAAGTTGGACAGTAGCTCACGCTTGTAATCCTAGCTCTTCAGGAGGCTGAGATCTGAGAACTGAAGTTAGAAACCAGTTCAGGCAGAAAAATCCATGAAACTCTTACCTACAATGAGCCAGCAAAAAGTCAAAAGTGGAGCTGTGGCTCAAATGGTAGAATGCCAAAGTTGAGCAAAAAGTTAAGGGAAAGTGCTCTGGCCCTGAGTTCAAGACCCAGTACTGGCAGAAAGGGAAGGAAGGAAGGAAAGAAGAAGGAAGGAAGGAAGGAAGGAAGGAAAGAAGGAAAGGAGGGAGGGAGGGAGGGAAGGAAAGAGGGAAGGAGGGAAGGAGGGAAAGTAAGAGGGAAGGAAGGAAGAGAAGAGAGAAAAGGAGAGGAGAAAAGAAGAGGAAGGGGAGAAGAGCAGAAGAGAGGGGAGGGGAGAGGAGAGGAGAGGGGAGGGCAGGGGAAGGGAGGAGAGGAGAGGAGAAGAAAATAAGAGGAAAGGGAGGGGAAGGGAGAGGAGAGGAGAAGAAAATAAGAGGAAAGGGAGGGGAAGGGAGAGGAGAGGAGAGGAAGGGAAGGGAGGGGAGGGCAGGGGAGAGGAGAGGAGAGGAGGAGAGGGGAGGGGAGAGGAGGGGAGAGGAGCAGAGCGGAGCTCTGGGTGTGTACCACTGGAGAGTTTTACTTGTACCCTGGCTAGGAGGATGTGCCCTCACGATACAGGGCATATTTTGACCTAGGAAATCTCCAGCCTGAGATACTGGCGTGCCCCATGCAGTCAGGAGGAGGGAAACAAGGAGCCTCTAAGGTTTGGAAGGAGGAACTCACTGTTTGTCAGCATCTGCAGGTCTTCCACGGAGGGAGGAGATGATTTCTTCTCATAAGGGATGACTGTGTTCAGATACTGCAAGACAAACAAGCATTTGGCCCCTGAGACACGATCCCTCAACGGGTTAAGGACAGTGGACAAGTTGCATGGGCACAGTACTCTAAGACACAAAGAAACAAAACACTCTCAAACTCCACCTTTCTGACAACACTCAAGGTCAGTGGCAAACTGCTATTTCAGAACTCTATTTCATCCCCCAACTCCTGGGGGCTGTCTCTCGAAAATAAGACTTTCCCCATATTAACCAGGAAAAACTTTGCTCCGTCTCAGCAGCTACATTCTTCTTGCATTAGAAACTTCTAAGTTATCTTGGAAACCAGGGGAGCTTTGTCCCCCTTCAGGCTGAGAGCAGCAGACAATATTCCCCAAGGGTTTTGTTGTTGTTGTTATGTTTAAAATTGAGAAAGAATTCCTTCTCTTTTTGTCAAAAATGATGTGTTGATACATCCAAGGTCTTGGATGTTGGATTTACTCCCTCTGCTGGATGTCAGGTGCTCCTGCAACAAAGCCAACATTGGAGGGTGGGCAGGGGGACCTTCCACCAGAGACCTTGACAGGCCCTAAGGGTGCCTAAAGTGGTCAGTGCAAGGTTGAGAAGCTTTGCCTTGTGGTCCTGGCCCTGCCGCTGGCAGTGAGGCCTTGGGAACCTGTCTCACCACGCTGAGCCTTATCTCACTGCTGTGAAGCTAATTACACAGTCCAAAAGTCTCCCCATGGTGCCAGTGTAGAATTCTAACACAGAGGATTCAGCACAAGCATTTAAAAGTCACAGCCGTTTCATGAGTATTTATTCCACAGGTTTAAACTTGGCAGTTGACGCCACCAAGTCTATTGGACTTGTACCCCAAAGGGTAGGGACCAGGGCTTTTGGCCTTGTACCTAAACACCTAGCGATATAACATAGCATTCATTTGAACTCTTTCCTAACATCCAGAAATGAAGTCACTTTGCAAGGCTACTGTTGGTGTGTAATCTGAATGTCTCCCTGTTTGCTCCTATGTATACTTCTACCATGATGTGCCACCTTTAGCAGAGGTCAAACCAATAAGGGCATCTAATCTTGCACTTAAACCTCTAAACCTATAAACTAAATAAAACTTTACTTTCATAAAGTTAATGGCCTCAGGAAACTTACTTTAGCAATGCAAAGCTGACTGATACAGTAGGCAAGTTATTAACAAAATGGAGCCAACAAGGAGATGCCATGTTGTGGGGTACAATCTGAGCCAGGCAGCTAAAGAGGTCGTTGACCCAGGCAGAGGTCAAATGCCAATAGAGTTAATTAAACTTTCAGATAGGATCAGCCATGAAATAGGTCTCCCCCCACCCTTTTTATTTTCTGTTGGTAGTGGGGCTTGAACTCCGGGCCTGGGTACTGTCCCTGAGCTCTCTGCTCGAGGCTAGTTCTCTACCATTTTGAGCCACAGCGCCACTTCTGGTTTTGTGCTGGTTATGTGGAAGTCTCATGGACTTTCCTGTCCAGGCTAGCTTTGAACCACAGTCCTTAGATCTCAGGCTCCTGTGTAGCTAGGATTACAGGTGTGAGCCACCAGTGCCCAGCTATAGATTCCTTTCAATGCAACTTCATTAATAGATATTAGTGTTGGGTTTGAAGTTTTGTTCATATCCTAGAATACAGGATCTTAAAAAAAATCACTTTGGGAAAGCACTTTCTTCTTTAACAGTGGAAGGACACGTCAGAGTCCTTCTGTTGGCACCCCACACACGCACATGGTTGGGAAGACTGAGTTGTGAGATCATAGAGGAGGGAGGGAGAGAGGAAAAACGCAACTGTTCAGACCTACCTGTTTGTCGGTTCCTGAGGAGCCAAAAGTCTGGCGGATGCCACTTTGCAGGATGTTGGAGATACCTTCCATGCTGAAGCGCTGCAGGAGAGAGACACTCAGGAGGGCAAAGGCTCCCTGGTCCAAAGCCAACACGCCAGGGACTTCTGTGCTCTTACTCAAGTACCCAGACCCATAGCTACCAGGTCACATCCGATAAATGCTCCATGGTAACCAGAGTCAATGTAAGACCTTGGCCTACCTTGCCTTCCTTGGCTTACATGCAATTTATCCAACAGACAAGAGACGTTTAAAGCAACTGTCCTTGTTAGGCATTGGTGGCTCATGCCTATAATCTTAGCTACTCAGGAGCCTGAGATGTGAGAATCAAGGTTCAAAGCCAGCTGGGACCAGGAAAGTCTGTGAGACTCTTATCCCCAATTAACCACTAAAGAGTGCAAAGTGGTAGCCTGGAGCAAAAAAGAACTCCAGGACAGCACCCAGGCCCTGAGTTCAATCCCTAGGCTTGGCACAAAAAAAATAAATAAATAAGATAAAAGCAACTGTTCTTTTCTGGGGAATTTGTTTGCTTATTTGTTTTTAAAATGCACGTGTCATAGTCTTCATTTAACTGGTCAGGGACAGGCACAGCTCCTTAGTTGATTCTACTGAGATATCCCCCATTACAAACCACTGGTTTGGAGAATGCTGTCAACAGACCAATAAGACATCCGGCTATTTTCAGCCCCAGAAACACTCTACAAAACACCTTAAGTACATCCTAAGGTAAGCAACAGGACCACAACCCATGCCAGTGGCAGAACTCTGAAGACTCTGGATGCCTTCCCTCACTTCCCCCAACCTAGCAATCCAGGAGACACATGCTTATCTTCCCCCTTGTTCTGACCCACAGCCCCTCACAGGCCTCTGCTCACAGTTTTGTTGCTCAGTAAGAGTGGGTGTTGGGATCTGCAATGGAGCTGGAGGCTGCCTATGCCCAGTCTTCCAACTGGGTTGCTTCTATGCATACCTTGAGAGGCATCTGATTCCCCTTCTCTATTCGGCTGCTCTGCAGGCTCAGCCCTTTCTCTTTCCGCCTCTTTTTCATCAGTTCCCGCTGCTCCTTCTGCTTGTTCTGAACCTCGATGAGCACCGTGATGAAGGAGTTCTTCACTTCCTTCTCAAACTCCAGCTCATCCCGGCGGGCTAGCTGCTGCACCAGCTCCTCTGAGAAGTCTCGGATGGCGCCCTCCACCTGGTCCAGCAGCTCAGCCAGCTCGGACCCAGACATGTGTCTCAGTCCTGCAGGGAAAGAGAGGCCTGAGCCCTTGGGAGAAAGGTTGCCTTCACAGGGACCCCTTCCAACTCCTTAGAGGTCCCCAGAGGACCACTATTAAAGGATAGGACAGGAAGAGGCCCCATATTAAATACAGGAGAGGAGATCACATGAAGAGGAAAAAGAAACAGCCCCCCTCCTGCCCCTGCAACAAAGCATGTGGACTCTGTAGAGAAAAATATGGGTAAAAAAGCAGGGTTTGGTGGCTCACACTTGTTATCCCAGCTACATGGGAGGCTAAGTTTGGAAGGATTATGGTTCTAGGCCAACCTGGACCAAAAACAACAACAACAAAAAAAAAAATCACAAGACTCCATCTTATCTGGAAAAGCTGGATGTGGTAGCACACACCTGTCATCCTAGCTACAGTGGGAAGCATAAATAGGGGGATCAGAGTCCAGGCCAGTCCTTGCAAAAATCAAGACCTTATCTAAAACATAACCAGGGCAAAAAGGGCTGGAGGCATGGCTCAAGTGGCAGAGAAAATGTAAACCCCAATATTTTTTTAATTGGGTAAACAGCCTGTGTTCAAACCCTCTCCCAAGAACTAAATAAGATATAGCTGACAGGTGGGCATGGTGGCTTATACCTATGGTTCCAGCTATTCGAGAGTCAGAGATCAGGAGGCTCATACTTCAAGGCCAGCCTGGACAAAAAGTTGGTTAGATCCCCCCCCATCTCAACTAACAAGCTGGGTGTGATGATTCATGTCTATAATTCTCTGGAGGGAGGGGGGAATAAAGTCCCCAAGATAAAGAAATGCTGTGTCTGAGGCGAGAGCAGCATCACTGTCCCTAAACTGATCATTCCACAGTTAAATATTAAAATGCCTCGCCAGACTGTATAAATATGGTCCATTAGTATGAGCCAGTCAAAATATTAGTGAAGTAAATAAAAGAGATTTAGAGACCATCTTTGAAAGTTTGCCTTTGATTAATAGTGTCTTTTTCTTTTAAATCTTAGAATCTGTTACCCTCCCCCTACACCCCCACCCCACTCCATTCCTAGTCGTCTGGGTGTTGGCTGACTCAGTTCAGCCTTCCCCTTTGTCTTGCTCCTTGGCGCTCTCCTCCTCCTTCTGTTTATTTGCCATCTGCTTCCCAGCAAGTCCTCCACTAAACACTTCTATGTTTGGGGCCTTTGTGTGGCCAAGAATGGCCTGATGGGGTGGCAGTGAATGCAGCCAGGCAGCCATCTCCCGCCCCTGCCCTTTAGACGTTGTTCTCAGGATGACAGGCGGGAGTCTTGCCACTTCTTACCTGCCCTGGGACCTGTTTACTCTGACCCACCCACCTTCTCTCCATCCCCCAACCTGGGGACCCTCCTGCGGCACAGGCACAGAGGATGGACCTGCTACTTTCCCTGCCTGTGCTGTGATTCTTTATTTTTTTTTTTTCATTTCACACGCCAGCCAGCCCTTCCTTTGCAGGCTGACTTACTGTGCTTCAGAGATTAAGAGACTGGATGCTGGAGTGAACATCTCTGTCAGGAGAGGGTTCTGGGTTTAGGATGGGTTTATGAGGTTCAAGGGCAAATGCAGATTTACAATGAGAATGTAGCCTCTCCCCACTGAAAATAAGAGAAGAAGGCTGGGGTGGGGACTGGGAGTGGGGGTGGCAACAGATCAGGGGCAGAACGTATATTTAACATGTGTGAGGCCCTGGATTGGATCTCCAGGAATGAAGGAAGGAAGGGAGGGAGGGAGGGAGGGAAAAGTAAAGCATAGGAGGGCAGGATGAGATGGGAGAAGGGGAAAGGAGGGGAGGAAGGAAGGGGAGGGGAGGGGAAGGAAGGAGAGACTTTGCCTGTCTTCCACCTCCTTTTTCTTTCAAACTTTCTTTGTCCTTTTCAAATGCCTCCTAGGGTCTGTCTCCACGGTTCAGGAAAGTTTCCTTAGGGGCCTGGGAGTCATTGCTTTGAAATACAATCATCCAGGAAGATGAGGCCTAAACTCCCATTGTTCTAGAAGCAGAGGGGCCTAAGTCAGCCACCTGACTCCAAATTGCCAAACCTACTTCAGCATAATGGGTTCTAATTCACTTAGCTATTGGACAGTGAGATTTCTTTGTCAGTCGTGGGGCCTGAACTCTGGGCCTGGGCACCGTCCTTCAGCTCTTCAGCTCTAGGATAGCAATCTACCACTTGAGCCACAGCGCCACTTTTGACTTTTTCTGCTTACATGGAGCTGAGGAATTGAACCCAGGGCCTCATGAATGCAAGGCAAGCACTCTACCACAGGGCCACCTTCCCAGCCCAGCTGCTTTCTTTAATAGCTTGGTGGTAAGGCTTTTCTGGGAGGTGGTAAGATTTTGTTTTCTATTCAATTTCTCCAACAATGGCTTTGGACCAGTCCCTTAGCCTCTGGAAGACAGTTAACGCCATCCCAGTGGGGCTGGTGTGTGGTTGTTGGGAGATTATACATAAAACAAGATTGAAATAGGATCTGATAAAGACAGGTCATTCTAGAATGATGAGCTATCATTATTACCATCTATTTTTTCATTGATTTTTTTTTTTGGTCTGTTGAACTCGGCCTGGGCGCTGTCCCTCAGCTCTTCAGCTCAAGGCTAGCGCTCTACCACTTGAACCACAGCACCACTTCCAGCTTTTTCTGCTTATGTGGTGCTGAGGAATTGAACCCAGGCCTTAATACAGGCTAGACAAGCACTCTATCACTGAGCCACATTCCCAGCCCATATTTTTTTCCATTGATTTTATGGTAGTATCCCTCATTTCTTTTAGATAGTAGCCCTCAGATTTTCCCATTTATTCTGTTTTAGTCTTTTTTTCTTTAGTTTAGTTTGTTCTGTCCTTTAAATTTTCCTGTGTGTGTGTTGTCTTGTGTTTTTGTCTGTTTGCCAAAAATGTTAAGTTCTTGCTGGGTGCCCATGGTTCATGCCTGGAATCCTAGTTACTCAGAAGGCTGAGATCTAAGGATTGTTTGAAGCCAGACAGCCTGGGCAGGAAAGTCCCTGAGACTCGATCTCCACTTATCTATCAGAAAACAGGAAGTGGAGCTGTGGTTCAAGTGGTAGAGTGACAGCCTTGAGCAAAAAAGCTCAGTGCCTAGACCCTGAATTCAAGCCCCAGGATCATCACAAAATAAAAAAGATAACTTCTCTGCAGATACCAAGTAGGGCAGGTGTTGCCCATCAGTCTGCTCTATGAACGTCTGCTCCAGGACAGTGAGCCTTTTGTTGCCTGGAAGAGAATAAGTATATCATCTTTGGCGAGCCCTGCCCACTCAAGGGGCCTCACCTTCGTAGGACCAGTTGTTGTTGAAGGTCTGTGTTAGGGCCTGCATCTCCTGCAGCAGCACCGAGTCTGCCTGGGATGAGGTTTCTCCTCCATCATCCTCTTCCAGAACTTCCTCTTCCTCCTCAGGATCTGGGGAATTCTGCATCATTTCCTCAATCTCCTCAATCACCTGAGGAAAGTACACAAGAAAATGCAAACTGTTCCTTGCTAGAAGGAGCATGCTGGCTTGGGTCTTAATCAGGTAAGGACAGGTCTCATTTTGCCGTCCGTAAAATTCCTGGAGGAATACCATTTCTTTCATTGTTTTTGTGGGGTTCCTTTTTTATGCCAGTCCTGGGGCTTGAATTTAGGTCCTGGATGCTGTCCCTGAGCCTCTTTGGGTTCAAAGCTAGTGCTCTATCATGTGAGCCACATCGCCACTTCCGACTTTTTCTGAGTAGTTCATAAGAGTCTCATGGACTTTTCTGCCTGGACTGGCTTCAAATTGCAATCCTCAAATCTCAGCCTCCTGAATGAACCACTGACACCTGGCCCATTTCTTTAAATAAAATTTTTATTGTCTATACATTGTTGCATAAAAGTTGCCATTCAGGGCTGGGAAGGTGGCTCAGTGGTAGAGCGCTTGCCTTATATGCATGAGGCCCTGGGTTCGATTCCTCAGCACCACATAAGCAAAAAGAAAAAAGCCGGAAGTGGCACTGTGGCTCAAGTGGTAGAGCGCCAGCCTTGAGCTGAAGAGCTGAGGGCCAGCGCCCAGGCCCAGAGTTCAGGCCCCATGACCAGACCCCCCAAAAAAAAAAAAGTTGCCATTCAACAAAGCAGTTTATGAATATAGCGTATCTTTTCTTTCTTGTTTTTTTAGATCTGTGACCAGGACTTGGACTAGGTACTTGATGCTCTTGCTCCTTGGCTAGTGCTCTACCAACTGATCCATGCCTTCAGCCCCTACAATGCATCTTGATCAATGTCACCTCTTTAAACCTTCTCACTCATCCTTCCCAACCTGCCCCTTCCCTTACTTTTCTCCATTTTGTAGAATATAAAAATTCTTAACTGCATTCTCCTCCCTTCTCTTCATTCATCTACTCTCCTCTCCTTGATCCCCACCTAACCCATTTCTTAATAGATATTGAATAATAATAAAAATAGACCTGAGCAAAGGCTTACATACACTCTTTCTTTAATGTAAAGCACTCTTCATGTGAAATCTCTTCCAAGAGCTCCATTTAGATGAATGTTTTATTGGAAATAAACTACTCTTTCAGGAAATGAAGGCAGGGCTGATTGGAAGGGAGCATTTACTTCAATTTGCTGAGCATTTTATTCTAAGTGGGAAAATATTTTATCTGCTTGACAATATCCCCAAACCTACTCCATTAGCTGTCACGATACATGTGACTGGAAAACAAAAACAAAAACAAAAAAGTATTCTCAGAACAAGTCAAATGGGGCAGAAGACTGTTTCTTCAGAATTCACCTGGACAGAGACAAGTGCTGCTGAGCCACAAGTAAAAATAAAAACTGTAAGATAATAATAATAAGAAGAAGAAGAAGAAGAAGAGGAGGAGGAGGAGGGGGAGGAAGAGGAGGGGGAGGAGGAGGGGGCAGCTGGGATCTGGAAAGAAGGGGGGGAACACCTCAGCTCTTATCTCAATGATAGAGTGGGCACAGCTCCTACACATGGATGGCAAAGTTAGGCAACTGCCGAAAAGGTTAAGGACAAACTATTGTATATATTACTTGCTTACACACATAGAAAATATAGAAAACCAAGCCTCTGTGTAAATAATGAGTGTGTACTGGGTACTGATAGCTTAGGCCTGCAATCCTAGCTACTCAGGAGACTAAGATCTAAGGATCACAGTTCAAATCTTTCATCCTCGGAAGAAAAGTCGGTTAGACTCTTACCTCCAATTAACAAGCAAAAAAGCCAGAAGTGGAGCTGTGACTCAAGTGGTAGAGCTCCAACTTGAACAAAAAGAAAGCTAAATGAGAGCTCAAAGACCTGAATTCAAGTCTCATTACAAACACACACACACACAAACACACACACACACACACACACACACACACACACACAGAGTTGAGTTGAGTCAGGAATCCAGAGATTCAACATCTGTACTAAGTAAAAAATGACTTAAACTAATATTTAAATTAATCTAATCTTAACTGTGAAACACTGTATATTCTCAAGGAGAAAAGTAACTCAGACTGCCTTTGGAAGGCTAAAATTTTTCACTGTTCTATGAAAATGTGAAAAAACGTGCATCACACACACACAGAAGGCTAATCCATCGCTTCTATTTTTGGAAGAAATGGTATTTGGGATGTTCCTTGAAGTGTTCTGACTCCATGTACCAGGAGTTGTGAGAGACTTAGCAGGAGTAAACACTAGGCCTGTCTCAGTCATCAAAGTCTAACCTCAAACCAACCCAAGCATCAGGAAGTATCTTCATGTTTTCTGCAGGTGGGAACAGTAGCATAAAGAAAAGTTAAACCTTTTATCAAAAGATACATTGCTTCTGACACTGGTGGCTTACCTACTCAAGAGGTTGAAATCTGAGGATCAGGTTTGAACCCAGCTTAGACAGACAAATCTTTAAGACTCTTATCTCCAATTAACCAGCAAAAGGCCAGAAGTAGAGGTGTGGCTCAAATGGTAGAGTGCTGGCCATGTAAAGGCCAAGCAAAAGTTTACGGCCCTAAGTTCAAACCCCACATACCACACTGCCTCCAAAAGAAAGCTATTTTGAGGCATCAATATAGCCATCACAAGAGCACACACATCTTTCTTCTGTCCTTGACAATGTAGCCAGCATGTTCTCTTATACTTTTTTCTTTATTGAAAGAACAAATATTCTCAAGAACTCGCTAGATTTAGCTTATAAACTTATAAGTAAATGGATTGGGTGGTATGCAAGTGTGTCCCAATGCACTCACTGAAATGTGCTACATTCAAAGGAGAACTCAACTTTGCCTTAGAATAAAACACCAGGAAGTGGGTACTTGAAAGGGTGGGGTTAAGGGGAAAGGGGTGGACGAATGGAGAGGGGAAGAATCTAATGTATATCCTAAATTAAGAAGAGTGAGGGAAGGGATGGGTAGGGGAGGGATGGGTGAGAATGTTGAAAGGGGTGACATTGGTCAAGATATACTGTATTCATAAACTGCTTTGTTAAATGGCAATTCTTTTTTTTTGGGGGGGGGATGAGGGGTCTGGTCATGGGGCCTGAACTCTGGGCCTGGGCGCTGGCCCTCAGCTCTTCAGCTCAAGGCTAGTGCTCTACTACTTGAGCCGCAGCACCACTTCCGGCTTTTTTCTTTTTGCTTATGTGGTGCTGAGGAATCGAACCCAGGGCCTCATGCATGCAAGGCAAGCACTCTACCACTGAACCACCTTCCCAGCCCAGATTCTTATCTCCAATTATCCAGCAAAATGTCAGAAACAGAGATGTGGCTCATGTCGTAGAGTACCAAGCCTTAAGTTAAAAGAAGCCAAATGAAGAATGTGAGTTCCTGAGTTCAAGCCCTAGTACTGGCACCAAATAAAATGAAGAAAAATATTGATGGAAGTGGAGCTATGGCTCAAGTGACAGAGTACCAGCCTTAAATGAAAAAGCTAAGGGACAGTACTCAGGCCCTGAAGAAAATCCTAGCACCTGCAGACACACATGCACACCAAAAATAATAAATAAAATAAAAATGAAAAGAGAATGTCTTTAGCCCATTGGCTCTGTGGTCTCCAAGTTCATACCTCTTAGAGTCTAAAAGTTCACAATCATTGAGACTCAAGATTTAAGACCAACAAGATATTCTTGACCTTATCCCAAACTGTTGACAGTCAGTCTTGAGTTTACGTTCACATCTTGCACAGATTTAATCACCTACCCACTTGATACTCTATTTCTGTAATTCTGAATTAAAAGTCATATAGGGACTGAAAAGAAGGACTCCAAGGACTAGGGGTGTAGTTCAAGTGGTAGAGAGCCTGCCTAGCAAGCACAAGGCTCGGTGAGTTCAACTGAAAAACAAAACACAAACCAAAACAACAACAAAAGATTTCAGGAAACCTGTCTGCACAGCCATCTCTCCTCGAGGAATCCATCTTGCTTGCCCTCCAAGAGCTAACCTGCTGCTTAGCTTCGCTGGGGATTATTATTTGTTTCCCTTTCAGCCCAGACCCGATGCCAGCAGTCAGATCCATGAAAGTTTATCCTCAAAAAATGACTTCCTTCTTTGACTTTTTACCTTGGCAGATAGCCTCGACAATGCATGTCACCTTCTTATCTCCGTTTAAAACCAGGACTGAGTCATTACAAAAAAAGAATGTTAAATGAATGTATCTTAAATGCCATCTGTGTTCAACCTGGAGAAGAGGTAAGATGGGGAGGTGAAGAGGTCATTTGAGGGGCTGGGGTGCCAGATGGTGACATCTATTTCTGCGGGGGAACCCATATGCTTGTGTCTCTGCCAAGTCTGCCACCTGCCGTAGATACTTGGTTTCCACGACTCCCCACCGGGCAGAACAAAACTCTCACAGTCACACTTTGTTCATAACGATACCCAAGTGGCAGAACTTACTGAAGGACAGACGATCCAGGAGTAGGAATATGGCTCTTACTCGGAAATGGGGATTATTTTTTGTTTCCTGTTTGGGTTGCTATATAAAAAGAAGCCTCTGGCAGCAGCCGTTTGTTTTCATCAGAATTTGGGGGGTGAGAGGTTGGTATTAAGTCTATAAAAATATAGAATGCTCTGTAGCACAATGGATAGCGCATTGGACTTCTAAAATATAGAATGTTGGGTGAGATTGTCCAGAAAGAAATGTATTCTTTACCTGACTTACATAACTGTAACCCCCCATACATCACCTTTATAATAGCAATACTAATTTTTTAAATAAAGGATGTTTGTTGGGCACTGGTGACTTAGCCTGTAATCCTAGCTACTCAGGAAACTGAGATGAGATCTGAGGATCATGGTACAAAGCCAGCCTGTGCAAGAGAGTCTATCTCCAATTAACCATCAAAAAGCTAGAAGCGGAGCTATGGTTCAAGGGGAAAAATGTTCAGGGACAGCACCCAGGGCCTGAGCTCAAGCTCCAAGAGCAGAACAAAAAATAAAAAAGTTTATCTGGGCCTGGTGATGCAGGACTGTAATAACAGCACCCAGGTAGTTGAAACAGGAGGATCAGAAGATCAAGACCAGCCTATCTCAAAG